CCTTGTAATTAATGTAATCTTTTTCTTGTTTATGAGATATATCAAGGATTTATAAGTACTCAATTATTAAACCAGATGAACATGCAACGTTTTAAAGACATTTACCATTAATGCATCTATTATTGTGTGAAGATTTATAATAATTTCAAGTGTCACAACACGCTAGTCCCGCTCTACCCTATATCGAGACTCCGTACTAGATGCTATCAAACCGCTATCGAACAGCTATAAACGACTATCAGACTGATATTTAACAGCTATAAACAGCTATCAGACTGATATCGAACCGCTATCGGTTCATTTCAATATCTATCTGTTATATTTATTTTAAATATCTACAGGTTAGGGTGGCGAAAATAAAAACATATTAATGTAAGATAACATAGATTTTATTTAAAAATCTTACAATTCTTCCTGGTGTCGCAACCACCAGTTAAATATCTTAAATACATTTTGTAAAGCGCAATTCTTTGCGTGTTTTCCGCATCATATAGTGTTACAATTATCTAGATTACGCAGCACCGAATCGCGGTTTACGCTGCCACATAATGTTCCACATTAATATATGTATATATAAACGTACTTGCAATTTTCCCATCAGTTGACGCTCGTCTACAATGTTAACCTCAATGGAAAAAGATTTTGGCATGTGATGAACAACGTTGGGTATTATTTTATGTATGTTTACATTATTTGTTATTTTGTCAGATCTATCAAGCAATAGGTCTGTTTGCGTTACATGAAAGCTCCAAATATTTTTGCACTTAAAATGAAATAGATATATATTTGGCTTTGAAAAGAGAGAAAGCAAAAATGTGGAGTGCAAAAAGTGCAAGCAACGCGAACAGACCTAATAGCGGTAAATGCATGTTACATCCCGATAAAATTCTCTCTTTCGTTATTATAAATATATGATTCATACATTATTTTTATTTTATCTCTAGGTTAATATTGCGTCATGGTCTTGATATTTCGTCCTTATTTTATCTTTATTTCAAAACCGAAAATTCCGTTTCTCTTTTATAGGGAGGTATATCTTTTTCTTTATTTAAACATTCAAACCAACAGATAGATCACGTTATGTACCTTTATGCGTCACACAGATTATCTACTCTAAAGAATGTATAAGAATATTCCACGATCTTTTTCAAAGAAGCATTTCTGTTAAATAATAAATAAAAGCGTATATTAACAGTATATTAGTGATAATGTATGTTACATTTGTGTTTAATAATTAAGCAATTAATAACAAAATAGAAATCTTCCTGAATGCGAGGACGAATATCTTTTTCTTCCTTTTTTCTTTTTTCTTCTAATAAAATGAAACTAATTTTAGATATATAATTTAGAATGTAATAGGTTCGCCTCGCATAAGGATGTTAGTTAAGGAAAACTGAATTTTTAGTATAAATTAAAACTCTCAACTATTACCTATTAAGATTAAACCTGTAGAGTGGGGAGTAGGGCTTACGCGGAGCCGTGCTACTTTATCTTAAGGAACCAAGCGCGAGTATAGGTTCTACCAAATTTTGAAGAGTATTGATTGGTCCTAAAAGGACACTCCCACATTCATTTCCAAAATATAAAAGAAGCTCTCAAAAGCAGTCGAGAGACAGTTATTCTTTTATTCAAGTCAGTAATACATTCAGTTCAATTCAGTTCAGTCCAGTTCAGTTAATTCTATTCTTCAATTCAATTCAGTCCAAGACAGTTAATTCTTTTATTCAGTTTAGTATTTCATTCATTCTTACATACAGTTTTGGTCAGAAATCAACTTGATCAAGGTGAGAACTACCCTCGCGCTTCCTCAGAAATACACTCCATATTTTCCTTTTTTTATTGTTCTGTTTCACTCTTATATTTTTCTTTTTATTATTAAACGAAAATATTGAATACATCAAATCGCTGAAACCTAAATCTCTGCTCTGCATCGCACTCAATTACATATATTCAAGTACATATATATGAGTATCCGAGGGATTGTTGTGACTGTCGCTGCCAATAGCATGGCCCCCGTCTTATAGCACTTTCTCGGAATATTCATAATTATTCACGTTCGGAGGATTGTTACGATGGTCGCTGTCAATAGCGTAGCTTCCGTCTTATAGCATTCTCAGGATATTCATAAATATCTCATATCCAGAAGACCGTTCGATTGTCGCTGCCAATAGCGTGGCCCCCGTTTTACAGCAGTTCTTCTGGATATATTAATAATTTTTGCATTATTTCCATCCCTACTAAAGGCGGACGAAGACAGGACGAAGGCATAATTTCAATCTGGTAGATAAAATATTTTATATCTCACATCCACAATTTCGTAAAAAGAATCTTGAATTTGTTATTAGGATACATTTAGAAAACGATTATCCACTAAATTTTACATTCGATACTATTAATGAAAGAGAGAGAGAGTAAAAACATTAATAAATAAATTGAATTTTTGTTCAGCTAATAAAAAAACAAATAACAATTTAGCTAAAGAACGTGTTAAATGGTTTTCCATACCATATTTGGAAGAGATATCTAATAAATTCAAAAATACAATTAATAGGGTTTGCCATAGGGTTTCATTTTTTAGTTTGAACAAGTTGAACCGCTTTATTAAAGTTCATAAGGATTCTTTAAACAATGAATTGAAAAGGAATGTGGTTTACAAGATCAACTGTCGTGATTGCGATGTTTCCTATGTGGAACAAACTGGGAGAAAATTAAAAACCAGACTTTCTGAATACAAAAAGCATGTCCACAGTACAACATCCACTCATTCAGTGATCACAGAACATAGGTTGCAGAACGATCATGACTTTGATTGGCAAAACGTAGAAATTTTGGATGTAGAAAACTATTCTAATAAAAGGTTAATATCAGAGATGATGCATATTAATCGACAGACCAATGGGCTGAATCTACAACATCATACCATTGGTTTAAATCATGCGTACATTGAAATTCTTAATAAACTTTAAGACTTGTTTGTAATACATTATACGTCAAAAACTTGTTTGTCTTCAAATTGACCGCTATGTCACTTGTTTAGAAATCATTATTTAACTGTCGAAATGACAAGACACATATTGTTCTCGTAGTTATTTTTTAAAATTTGACGATAATTTATAACATATTAACGAGTTACAAAATGTTAAATAAGAGAGATTCTATGTTCAGTGTAGAAGCGTCGACTGTGTGAG